GCTGGTCTCAAACTGCTGGCTTCAAGGGATCCTCCCACCTCAGCCTCACACAGTGCTGGGATTACAGGCATGAGCCACTGCACCCAGCCCAGCGGCCTGTCTTTCCCTTGCCCACATTGATCGTGCCTCCTGTAGCCAGGAAGATGCTATACTTCAAGTTAACCAATTATATTAGTCTCCTCCCATTAATGATTTTAACCAAACTTCCCAAAAGTAGAGTTACTACTTTGAATTTAACCTTTTTATCTGTTTAAAATATGTGTATGTATATGTATGTGTGTAAATTCTCTGAATTATAATCCCATGGCCCAGCTTAACTGGGAAAACTTGAATAACTCCCAGATACCAGCCCTACTTCCAGTGCACTGTAACTTTTGGCCCTGTTTCCTTCTGCACAGGCTGGCTCAGGTGCAACACCACCATAAAGAAGAGTGGAGTCGGCAGCATCACCATGCTCTTCACAGGGTACTTCATCCTGTGTTGTAGCTGGAGTTTCAGGCATCTGAGTAAGCCTTTCTGTATTTTTAGCCACATTTTAAGTCACGTCCCATTATAGGGATCTCCAAGGGATTCTTAGAATTGCTTCTCCTATTACAGTTTTGCAGTATCTTACGTGCCCTAGTGAATGAGTTATTGCCTGGGAGCTCTCTAGTTTTTTTTTTATTAGAGGTTTGGTTATTATGGCCTTTATAAGATTTGACTAGAATTGATTTGCATAATTGCCCTTGTCCTTCATTTAGTGTTGTCACTGATCTGGTGGTCTTGTTTTTTTCACCCTTAAGCTGTTTCCCTTCTAGGAGGGAAGGTGCTGTCCTTGGTGCCTAAGAAATCCTTTTTAGCATTGAAACCAAACAGCTTTAATACTGCAAAGGAGAGGAGAAGGAATAGAACACAGCTGTCACTCATCAATGTGTCTAAGACATACAGCTGTCTTAGTTAATCTACTTGGAGCATTTAAAAGCAAACACCCGTCTAGTTAGGAGTTCTGGCTTATACCGAGTCCTAACCAGAAGGAAAATGCCTGAATTTCATTTCTCTTTTAATTCAAGATAGCTTTGTTCATTTTTTTAAGTACTGTGTTGTAAATATCTATCTTTATAGTTAAAAAGAAAAACATAAGAGGATATTCAAAAAATCCAGTGTTTTTCCACAATTAAAAAAAACAAGCCCACTTTCAGGGGAAAAGAAAAAAAAAAGGAAAAAGAAAAGCCAAAAAGCCCGGCAAGGGGGGGGGGGCCAACCCCGAAAACCCAAAAACCCGGGAAGGCCAAGCAAGAAGAACAACTGAAGGCAAGAAGTTCAAAACAACCCCAACAAAAACAAAAACCCGGCCCCAACAAAAAACAGAAAAAAATTGGCCATTGTGGAACATTCCTGTAGTCCCAGCTACTTGGGAGGCTGAGGCAGGAGAATCACTTGAGCCCAGGAATTCAAGGTCGCTGTAAGGTAGGCTGAGACCACTGCACTCTAGCCCAGGTGAAAGAGCGAGACTCCATCTCTAAATAAATAAGTGCCAATATAATTCACACACTGAATAATAAGATGTCTTTAGAAAACAATCTAGATTTGACACTCATTGGATTTGTTTGAATACTCAGTGTGTAGTGAGTAGGAGGGCAGGTGGAAGAGCAGGACGGGGCTGCAGCACTCGTGTATACTGGCTGGGGTGGCCTTGCTGCCATGCCTGAGAAAAGGGAACGCCTCTCTAATCATCCTGCATAAATGGAGAGGCCCAAAACCAAGAGTCATTTCTCCCACAAAAAAGAAGGGCTTTCCTTAAAGCTTTACCAGTCTGAAAGGGATCCTTTAGTTGATACCTGATATTAGTAGGTAGATATTAGATGTGGTATTTTTCACATCTCTAAATTGAGACTGGAAAAAGTGAAGCAGAAATTGCTTGTGCCTAAGACTATTTCTCAATTTATCAAACAAAAACAAAACGGAATGATTTGTGGAGGCAAGAGATAGAAACAGTGGATAGAAGTGGCTTCCTGGGTCCTTACCCTTAATCTCTGTTTATCCAAAGAGCTGCAACGCTGGCGCAAGTAGCGTTCGCCTGGACGTCACTAAGAAACTGCAAGACACGTACGATGGAGACGGCTGCAATACATATTTAACAACTTCAAATTGTATTAGAGAGAGGGAGTGAAAAGAATAAAATTATTGGAATCTAAAATAATTATATAGGAAGTAAATTTTTTATTAATATGGACAGATCTGGTTCTTGTCTAGATGCTTTTGGCTTGCTGTCAAAAGTGAGAGTTATTGAAAAAACCAGATTTGTTTAATCATATAAAGTTGTTATTCGGGGAGACATGAAGTTATTCAAGGAGATGTGAAGATGACAGGGTTCGTTAAAGTTAAGAAGCTGTTTCTCATTTTTCAGTAAAAACCAGTATCTCACTTTTAAATCTTTCTCCCTAAAATTGTTCTCTAAACGTTGGTGTTTTACCAGTCGTCTGTAAGAGACACTAGACTATGCATATAGTGCTGTATCTGAATTGGCAAAAAATGAGCCTGCATCCAGCCCTTCCCCTAGGGAATGATCAGGCTCTTTGGGGCCCTCTAGCAGATCGTATTGGTGTGAGGAACACAAGAGCAAAGCGTGGGCACCCGAGTTGCAGATGAGCCTACAGAAAACCCCTGCAGATACTCCTCACAAGCATTTTTTTAAGCTGATTAAAATAAATGGCACACTCAATAGAATGTTAAAACGCCTTTTATGCATCTTAAGTGAGTGTAATAGTGAACAGATGGTTTCTGTTTGTCAACTCTTTCTGGAAACTTCAGAATCCCACCTCTGTCCCTTCTCAGGAATTTCCATGAATTACTGAATTAGTTAGGATTATTTTGGGCTGGTGAATTTTCTGTGTCTCTTCACCCCATCAGAATATTCATTGTCTCTCTGATTCTTTTTGGCCCCTAGAGAGTGACGTGGATGCTTCCAGATAGAACAAGCTTCGAGGAAATGGAACCTAGGCAGTGTAGATGGATAAGTGTTCCTCCATCTCCCTTTCCAACACGGGGTTGATTATATCACACACACTTCCTTCTCAGCTTTGCTCATGATCTCCTCATGCCAAAATACATGAGGTCATTGCCTCTTATGTCCCAGCTCCTTCAAAACTACAGGGAAGCTGGTGTGCTATTCAAAGGCCAGTGTGTATTTACTTACACATTGCTTCCTTCTCTCCCCAAAACTTGAATGCTGGATCTACTGCTTTATCTCCCTTTCCTATTTCTATCCCTATTCTCTCCTATTCCCAATCCCTTGCCTGGGATTAATTCTGCAACAAATTCTCAGGGTTAAGGAAAGGTATATGGCTGTATACCCATGTCTACTAGAATTCTCTGTGAGGAAAACATCATGGTTGAGGGGAAAAGTTCTACATCTAGTTATTTTAGCTTAATATTAATATGAACTTCATTGGGACCCCAAAATAGTCTCTCCTTTTGAAAGAGCTTCATGCCCGTTCACCGTAATGCCTTTTAAGAGAGACACTTAGGGATTCTCTCCTCACCTCCTCATTTGTTCTTACTCAAGATCGGGAACTCTCAGGGGGAGAAGGTAGACGAGAGCGACCTCTCAACAGTGTCCTCTTTCCCGTTCCCCTTGAGCAGCTGTCAGCAGACTAACCACGGCCCACAGGCCACATCCAGCCCACTGCCCCTGTTTTTGTAAATACGGTCCCATTGGAACACAGCCCTGCTCATTCAGTTAGGTGCTGCCAGTGGCTGTTTCGTGCAAAGTTGAATAGTTGCAGCAGAAACCATATGCCCCAAAAGCTGAAAATATTTACTATCTGGCCCTTTACAGAAAAATTGTGCCGACCCCTGCCCTAGAGGAATGCGGCACCTCTGTGTGTTGGCGTGGTGAAGACAGCTGGGGACCGCTGCTCTAAAGTACTTTTGGATTAGGAGGCACATTTAAGTGAAAGAAGCCTTTCTTGACGTGTCTCCAGTACCTCAGTGCCGTGTTGTCCCCCGAACTGCCCATAAGTACAGTGGTAGCACAAAGGAGTAGCTTGTCACCCCCAAGATGTTTTATCAAGAACATTTATATCACTACTATAAATAAGCTGGTATCGTTTGTCAGAATCAGAGTGCCAAAAACACAAAGACATTTAACTTAATCACAACATTTTACATCCCTGAAAATAAGTTCCTTAATAAGAAAAAATATGATCTATTAGTCCTAAAGGGATATCTGCCTCATAGTGCCAAGTTTAGGACAAAGGTGAGATCCTATAGTAATAGGAAAAGGGCTTTTTGTTTGACACTGGTTGGTACCAAGAATTCCTACTCCCTTATCTCATTGCTGCTGTCTGCATGGGGAACATAATTGAAGACCTTTTATCAAGTCCTTTAATGATCCCTTCAAAATAGAGTTGTTGAGATGATCCTTTTAAAATGTTCAAAATAGTTTAAGAGAGTTGTTGAGATAAGCTGACAGCTGATGATTGTTTCCTGAGACTGAGATCTAAACAAACTCAGTGTGAGCAGGGAGTATATACCCTCCTAGTTCTGCTTTGCAGTGCTGATGTAAACTTGCCTTGTGAGGATACATTTCTTGTTCACATATGCAAATATCTCTATAAGTTCATTTGCACAGCTGCTCCAGTCATGTATATGATCAGCAGATTAAAAGCTGTATCCAGAGAGACTAGAGATTCTTTTCAAACCTGGAATATTGGACAAGAAAGACTTCATTACCTGCAGAAGCCATTATGCTTCAGGTGTAAGGCGGGGATAACTACTCATCTTTTCACAAAGCAGAGAGAAAAAGAATGCCTTTAACATGATTTACCATTTTCAACAGCCTTCATTTTGTCTCTTAAAATCATGCTTTCCCCTTCTGTGGCACTGGTGAGGGCCTCCCTAGGTAAGCAGCAATACTTAGATTTTGCTTCCAGGGCAGCAACTTGAATTCCTACACAAACATCCTGCAATGTCCATAGAAATTCAGCATGAGAATCCATACACGCGATCCATAACCTCCTTCCCATCCATCCTGCAGAAGAGTTACGGTGATGCGCAGGCTACCCTCCACCCCTGAGAAGACTTACTGTGGAAGGTCCTGTTATTGAAGGTTGGAAGTACAGGCTTGCCTGCACACCCTGCGGTAACTCACACATGGTTTCTATAAGGTAGATTAACCCTGGTGCTGGCTACTTTAGTTCAGTCCTGAATAATAATATCTGAAATATTGAGTTTACTGGGGAAAGTATATTTTTTTCGAATACACATTAAAATATTTAGCTACTATAAATCATGTTGTATTATCAGCAGACTGTTTTACACTTAATGGGGAACTCACATATTACTGCCACCACTCTTCATAATAAAAGTATTTGTAAAAAATAAAAAATATTCCTCTGAGCTGATCATTTGCCTCTTCTAGAATTTTTCCTGTGAAATGGGTGAGTGTGTGCCTGGATAAGTTATCCAATTTACTGCAGCTTCCTTTGGACTATAAATTGGGGATAATTATACCTACTTTGCGGAGATTTGGTAAGATTAGAAGACTTACGTCTGTTCATCCCAGCAAGGTCTGACCTGGTGGGAACTCATCAGTAGCCACTGTTCTAAAACCTCTTGTGGCATATTATGTGCAGCTTCCAAACGTGAACCCAGGGAGAGGCCCCACGGCAGTCCACACCAGCCTTTGGGTGCTTGCTTTGTGCCAAGTGCTGTGCAAGGTTCTTTACACGCATTTTCTCATTTTATCCTTGTAACGGCCGTGTGATGCGATGCTATCTGACTCATTTTCCGGAATGAGGAAACAGGCTTGAGGAGGTCAGTTTTTCTACATAGCTCTGTGCTGTTCGTCACTTAGCAGCCCAGAGTGGTTTGAACTGGTATTAAAATCCCCAAATCTCACTCCTGCACTGTATTCTTTTAGATTGCCTTAACCTCTGACCCTCCAGTTCTAGGGAGGCCAGGCACCTGTCTCTTCGTGTACCAAAGGTGGAAGGCTGGTCCCCCCTCCTGCCTCGTAATGCTCTTCTCTGTTTCTCCGAAAGGCTCAGCTTGGCCACGGCTCTCCTCTCCCAGTGGATTAGGTTGCGCTGGTGCCCCATGACATAATGGCTTGGATGGTACACCATTAACGTTCCGAGTCACTACCTCACCTCCCCAGGATAAGCCTCTTTCGTACCATCTACTGCCCCATATACTCCACATAAGGCACAGAGTATATTCTTAAATAAGCCATACAGGGAAGCAGCTGTCATGCTAAAGAAAACCATTTGATTTAATTGCCAGTTTGTAGTAGCAGCTGAGGCCATATGTATAGGAACTGCCACGTGCACTCAGAACTGTCTAGGAGCACAGGAGCCGGGCAGAGTATGATGATCGTGGATTTTCCGTATACTCCAGCTTTTGGTTGTACATACATTTTGCTCCTCCAATTTATGGTAATTCATTCCTGCCACAGTCATCTGCCTGTAATCCTATTGTATTTTTAGTTGCTGGTGCAGTTACAGGATAAAAGGAAAGAAACCTACAGACAGCAGGCTACTTCTGCATGACAAGCTCGCTCTGGAACGTTGGAACAGAGAATCCCATAGTGGGGCCATTGAACATCTCCACCAGAAGATCTTCCAGTTTCCAGACCGTGGGTTCGTTTTTGATAACTCCTACCAGTTGCACTTACTGGCATAATGGCCTGGTTTTTGACACTAAAAGAGAAAAAGTTAATGGCATGACTTTTGTAAATTCCAGTCTCAAGAGAAAAACTCTGAGTGGTCTAGGAAACCACAGGAGATAGCTGGCTTTCTGAGGAATTGAATGGATTCTGCTCACAAATGAAGCTTATTTCAGGCCTAATAGAGACCTTGATATTCATGCCCAGCACCATGATCAGAGAACAAGGCTCTAGGCTTTCAAAGGCCCATAAAATCAAATGTGCAAGAAAGTCAGTTTCTGCCTCTTAACCTGTCACCCTGATGTGACTCTTCTGCAGAATGGAGAAATCAAAGCTCTGAACAATTTAGAAGCTATCTTGAGAGTGAAGTTACGATAAAACCATCTTGGCTTTTTTCTTCCTGATAAACCAGAAGATAGCAGAAAAAAGAAATCCAAGGTGCTACATTTTTTCACTTAACCAAGAACTCTGTCCCCTGCTGCAACTCTTAAGGATGTTATGTGTACATAACTCAGTGGGCAACAGAATAGGAAATGAAAGAAAATGGTTTCTTGTAAAGAAAGTCTTATATGACTAAAGATGCAAACAGGATTAGGTTGTTGAGACTTTCCACACTGTAACATTTGGTTCACCAGAATCAGCCCGTTCTCTCTTAATACCCCAGTGCAGTTTTCTTCCATGCTACAGAAAAGGAAATGCGTTCTCTAGCTCTCTGGTCAGCCCCCTCCCCAGCCCTCGGTGGACACTGGGGCTGAATCCCGGGGCTGGGTGACAAGCTGTAGACATGGCGAAGGCATGGGGAAACACCTGCAGACACAGCGAATTGACACTGAGGGCCTGGGCCCCAGTCGAATGTCAGGGTGGAACCAGGGTTCAACATGCCCTTAGGAACGGTTTTAATTGCCAAAAGCATACCTCTCAACGAAAGGTAGAAAGGGGGTTGTAAATTCCCCATCCGGCAGATCAGATCGCTTCCCACCCCTAGCAGAGGCCCCTCAGAGCCCCCGGGAGCCACCTAACCCCCAGCCACTGCCCTCCCAGCTCCAGCATGGGGTGGCCCCAAGCTCAGTAGCTGCCCCAGCGTCTGCTGTGCTCCTGCTTGGCCTCTGTCACACCTAAGTGGGGATCCAACTTTCAGTCACCTAGACCAGGGGTCAGCAAGCTTTCCTATAGGTGACCAAAGAGTAAATATAAGTATATATGTGCATATTTTCTAAATAGTAAATACTTTAAATTCTATGAGGTGAGCCATCAGATCTCTGTTGCAACCACTTAACTGTGCCATTGTAATCTCCAGAATAGCCATGGCAACATGTAAATAAAAATAATGCGATGAGCACTGGAATTACCATTTTCACATGTCATATAATATTCTTTTGATTTATTTTCTCCCCAACATTTTAAAAACCATTCCTCCCAGCTGTACAAAGACAGGCAGTGGCCAGCTGGCCCGCAGGCTGTGGTCTGCTGACTCCTGGTGTAGGCTCCCAGCGCCTGGCATCCACAGGGACAGTGTGTCTCCATAGGGACGAGCATGTCTATTTCCACAGGGAGCGGGCCCATTTCTCAAGCGGGGCTGGCCCTGACTCAGAAAACCAGCTTTGGACCGCAAGTCCTGAGCTGGGCCTCGTTTTGTTTAAACACAAACGCCACACATGTCTCCGTGCCAAGGAGAAGGACGGCCTCAAGGGCCGGTCAGCTGAGAAGTCCTGCCCGAAGCAGGGATGGTAGAGGTGGGAGGGGAGTCTGGGAGGAACCACCACATCCATGTGCCCCATGACAGGTGCTTTCCCAGGGGAGTGAGGGTCCGTCAGGAGCAGTGCTGGGGAGCAAGCTCTCCTAGGAGCAGAGAGAAGTGTGGAGTAAAGGGCAAGGCCCATGGGCACCTGCGGACCTGCACTCACCTTCGTGTAACTCGAGTTGAATGAAAGATTCATCTTGGGACTGAGTGCAGAGAGAGAGACAATTACAGCCAGCTCAGCCTCCCACCCCCTGCTCGTTAACATGCTCTGCAACAGCCCGCTGCAGAGTTCGTATTTCAGAACCCCATGGGGAAGGAGCCCTCTCCAGCCCGGGAGTGAGGGAGAGCTGCAGACTGGGGGGGAAACGGGTGTTAAATGTTTCTACTCTTATTTCTAGAACAGTTTGTGAAAAGATCTATACCCACCCCAGCACGAGCGCACATTAGCAGGAGGGGTTGGAGGTGGCCAGGGGACAGGCAGCAGTGTGTGGGGAACACAGTTGGCCGGACAGCTCTCCACCACGGGCCAGGGAAGGCGTGGAAGGACCCAGATCCAGCAGGCCAGGCCCGGCACTCCAGTGGCAGTTGGTAATTGAAGGATCATACTCACTGAGCAAATTGGCACTTGGGTCCCTCAGGGCAGAAGCCAACTAAATAGTTGAGACACATTATTCTGGGGACATGGCGGTATTTACACAGGGGACCTGCTGGGCAAAGAGAAAATGACCAGAAGGCTCTGCTGTAGCAAAAGGGAAAACACATGGGAAAGCTTCCCGGAAGGGTACAGGTGCTCCACTAGATGGGGCACAAATCTAGTCCTTTCCATGGTGCCCCGAGGCCCCCATGTCTAGCCATGAGACTGAGAGAAAGGGAGCCTTGGAACGTGTTGGGGCAGGTGTCAGCTGGCAAGTCCCTGAAACTGCGGGGGTTGGAAGTGTCACTGACATGCTGTGTCTGGGAGGACTTACGTGGACGTGGACTTGACTTTGCTGCCTTTTATTTATTTAGCTATAGAAGGTACAGCTGAGGAAAGCTAACCCCACAATCCTACTGATCCTCCTTCAGCCACACTCCCCCCAGACCCCCAAAACCAGCAGTGCGAAGAACTCACAACAATACAACTGAGGGACAAACACGGGTGCTTAGGGCACAGGGACCTTGAGGGGGGACCCTGCCTCCTAGGTTTAGCTGGCAGCAAACCAGTTAAAGGTGGGACAAAAAGGTAGGACATGCTTAAGTGAAACTCGGGACACCAAAGGTGGGTAAAAGAAACAGAGAAGAGAATACATGTGAACTAAACATGTCCTGTGGGCCAAACCCTGTGGCAAGGGCTTCCCGGGGTTAAGTCACTTGTTCAAGGTCAGGTAGTCATGTGTACTGAAGATAGGATTTGGGCCCAGATAAGCCTGCCCCGAGACGCCCATGGTGTCACAGCAGCCTGGGGAGAACTGCAGAAAGGCCTTCCGCTGGGACTGCAATGGAAACAGCCCCTCCCCTGCTGAGCCCCCTTCCCGACCACCCCCCTTCCCCCACGCTCCCTGTCAGTCAAGGCCTCACCATCCTTGCAGAAACCTTGGTCATACCAAGGACAGTCCCGGGACTTGAAAGCTGGCTTCACGTGGAGGAAGGAACACTCCTTGTTGTTGCAGTCACCTGAAAATTCAAACATTCTTATACATAAGCGGGCTCCTGGTTATGGTCACTTCCGCCTCCCCAAACTGGTCTGACCTTGCCCCTCCTGCACGTATAAGCTGCTGGCCTTCCTTCTGGTGGCCAGCAGCTTCTGCAGGCAGCCAGGTATGTCTAATCCTTCCTGCAGTCCAAGAAGGGTGGGTCCCAGCAACATCTGCTGAGCGGGGCGTGGGTGTGGACGTACACATCCCGGAGAGTTGGGCAGGACCAGGGACCCAGGAGGAAGCGCCAGAACTGCAGGCGCATGGAGGCTCCCGGGGAGGGAGGAGTGGGTCACTTATGACGTTAAATGGAGAAGTTGCATGTGCCATGACTAAGCCCTCTTGTTCCTCTCTGCTCCAAATCCTATACTGCTTCCAGAGCTTATGGGGAGCAGTTCCTTTTGGTGGAAATGCCAAGAAAAGCAGAGTCCTGCTCCGAGTTGGCACAGGGATAAAAATAAACACTCCACAGGGGGACACCTGCAGTGTACTAAGCCAGCGTGGTAATCTACGGATCAGACCAAGCCTCAGACGTAGGGCGTCTCCTGTACGGAGCCGGCCCCGCGGGCACAGGCTACCCAGGAGTCGTTTGAAGAGCCTCTTCGATTTCTCTTAGGAAGGAAGGTCTGAAGGAGGCGTGGGGAAGATCCAGCCACGGTCACCTCACTCGGGCTGAGAACCGATGGGCGTCTCCAGCTCCGTCCCCCTGCAAAGTCTACAGCTCAGTACTTTCTCAGGCTCAAAGGCGCCTCACAGCGTCTGCTCCGCCGGCTTTCAAGCTGCTCCAGAGAGATCTATTTTATACGTTGGGCTTCTGCAGGGCGAGGTTCCACCTGAAGGAGAGTCCCCCTCGTCCCCAAGGGCGCAAACCTGCCACTCTTCCCCAGCCCTCTCACTGCACACACGCGGACGCCCGTGTTCAGAGAGGGGAGAGCTCACGTCACGTTGGTTTATTTGCTCTCGTCAGCGTGCAGCACTGGGCAGAGTGCCGACTCTGGGCTTGAGCCTTCTAAGGATTCAAAGGGACATCACCCCCTAGGGCTGGTCAGCATTCGATCCATTTCATCGGTGCAGGTCATGGGAAGCCGTCTACACCGGTGTTGCCTTTCTTCCCGAGCCCCGAGCACGTTGCTGCATTTCTGGTCTGGCCAGCAGGTGGCGGCAGCACCCCAGCCTTCAGCCTGCCCGTCAGAGCTGCCCGGTGCCCTGGAGGGACATCTGAGCCCCTTCAACTTCCCTTTCCCGCTCCCACACCTCTCCAAAAATACCTTACAAAAAAATGAAAGAATTTGCATCCAATAAGAATGATAATTACCTGGATAATGATATTACAAGGAGACATTCATTCATTTACTACAAGAACAGAACCGTAGGTTACAAATTGTAATAATGGGTTTACGTGTCTGTCTGCACTAATCAGAGATATTTGAGGGCAGCAGGGGACCTGGTCCTGGTCCTGTTCCTGTATGCGTTCCCTGCAGCATCTGATCCCCAAACGAAAACCAACCAAGGGTTACTGAGGGAATAACCAAGTAAGTGGCATTTTAAGTGAAAGAGTTTTATTTGGGCAATGACCAAGGGTAGCGGGGCTCCTGATACCTTTTGTCCCCTCTTTCAAGACATGTGGCAGCCCTCAGGAACTGCCACGCTGTCACCTCCCAGGGGCAGGCAGGAAACGGAATGTTGGCCTGGGAGGGGCTTTTGGTGGCCTAGGGGATGCTCTGCTTCCTTCCCACATGCCCAGGACCCCCCCCACACACACACTGGCACTACGAGGACAGCTGCCTGGGGGCTGGGGGCTGAAGCTGGATAGAGCCTTATCTAGAAGCCGAGCCTCCTAAGCCAAGAGCGTCCCTGGGGATCCTGCCAGCTCTGTTTTTGCAGGTCACTCTTTTTGGAACACAGTTTGGAAACCACTGGCCTAGAAAATCCTTAAGGCTCCTTCCAGCTCTGGAAAGCGCCGAGCTGTAGAATTTTATTGAGAAGGGTGAGACCTGAAGCACATCCCCAGATTCCATTCTTAAACGAGGGGAGAGCGGCTGCAGCTTCTCCCTAAATTGCCCCCTGGTTAAAAGGACAAGAAGAGGACTTGAGACCAGAGGGGGAGGTAAGATGACGCTGGTCCAGACCTGACCACGCAGGGTAATTCCAGGGGCTGGACTTCTGCACCTCATGGTTTTACGTTTGCAGTTACCTTTTATTTCTAACAAGTGATGCTTATTTTCCATTTATGGAAACAATGCAAAGTTTTCTTCTAAAATAAGAGTGAAAATAGCAAGACTGTTGAAAGAGCAGATGGTGGCACTGGAGCTTTGTGGGTACAACAGGCATCGTGAAAGTGCCCCTCCAAACCTGGTGTTTGGGAAGCGCTAACCTGCCCCCCAACCCCACCCCACCCTGGGCCTGAGCGATGGCTCATTAGAGACTTAGCTCCCAACAGTCAGTCTGGGTGAGTGATTAGCCAGGACCGGGGAGGGCAACACCCTCCCTTCCCTTTTGGAGGTAACTGGTGTGCACCTTGACCCTGGGGGGCGGGAAAGGGCAGGGATGCTGGGGTGCAGGTCCCCTTCCTCAAGGTTTGGGGAAGCAGCACCTGTCCTAGTCAGCCTCCTCTGGGCGCCCCCTCCCTTGAACCCTCCCTCCCACCTCGAGGGGCGAGGGGCAGAGCCAGGAAGGGACCGTACCGAACTTGGAATAGAAGTAGCACTGGGGCATCCTGGTGACGTCGTACTGGTGCAGGAACTTGCAGAGGTCGCCCTTCTTGCACAGCCCCCGAAGCCAGTGCTTGCACACCACCGTCTTCTCCCCCCGCTCATGCCGGAACGGGCACAGCTTCCCTGGGGACAGCAGAGCACCCCGCTGGGAGGCCCCTCACCCACAGCTGGGCCCAGCTCGGCCCCCCAGGGAGTTCCCCAGAAGGGTGCTGGGGCTCAGTCCTCAGTGCCCCCCCCCCCAGTGGGGGCTAGAACTGGGATCCAGGGCTCCATGAAGGGCAAGCTGTTGTCTTTACAGGCAGCTGTTCTCACGGACACACCTTTGTCCACCTGTCCCCTCTGCCTGCCGTGCCCTTCTCCGGAGGGCAAACCCCAGGAAGCCTCAGGCTCGGGACAGCTGCCTTCTTGTGCCCCCACAGCGCCCAACACCCCCTGTCTTCCCACCGGAGAGCAGGGCCGGGCTCTCCAGACCTCGAAGCACACCCAGCCCAGCCCCTGCGCGTAGTAGCAAGGCCTGTTGGATTCACAGCTTAAAGAAAAAAACAAAAGTTATGCCTCCTGATTCCAGATACCTAATACAGTGTCGTAAGAGCTAACTTTGCAGTACTTTACAAGGGATCTTCTGTAGAAACGTTATATTTGACTGTTTTATCACCTGTATTCAAGTCTGCATTGTCATCAGCAGGAAGGACACCCAGTTCCTAAGTTTCTAAGCAGGACCAGCCTCACACATGGCCAAGTCTCTGATAGAATTTGAAGGGTGGTCCCCTTTAAAAGTGGGCAAAAGACATGAACAGAAGCTTTTCAAAAGAAGATAGACAAATGGCCAATAAACATATGAAAAATGCTCAATGTCACTAATCATCAGGAAAATGCAAATTAAAGCCACAATGAGATGTCACCTTATTCTAGTCAGAATGGCCTTTGTTAAAAAAAAAAAGTCCAAAAACAATAGATGCTGGCATGGATGCAGAGAGAAAAGAATTTACACACTGTTGGTGGGACTGCAAATTAATACAACCTCATGGAAAATTGTATGGAGATTCCTCGAAGAACTAAACATAGACCCGCCATTCGATCCAGCAACCCCACTTCTGGGTATTTACCCCAAAGGAAAAGATGACATTTTATCAAAAAGACACCTGCACATGAATGTTTATTGCAGCACAATTCACAGTTGCAAAGATATGGAATCAATTTAAGTGCCCATCAGTTCATCAGTTAACAAAATATGGTACATGTATACTTTGGAATAGTACTCAGCCATAAAAAGGATGAATTAGTGCCTTTTGCAGCAATTTGGATGGAACTGGAGACCATTATCCTAAGTGAAGTATCTAAAGAATGGCAAAACAAATAGCACATGTACTCACTACTAAATTGGAGCTAACTGATGAGCACACAGGTGCACAGAGGGAAGTAAAACTCAGCAGAAAGCAACCTAGGGGCAGTGGAAGGAGGGGATGGGTGAAAACTACCTAACGGGTACAAGGGACAATATCTGGGTGACAGGTACATTATAAAAGCGATTCATGTCACCAAACTATTTGTACCCCACAATACTTCTAAACTAAAAAAAGAAGAATTTGAGGGGTGGAGAAAGTGTTCTTAAATGCCCCTACCCTCCACCCCTGGCCCTTGACTTGATCGGTTCTGGCTTTCCAATAACAGTTTTATTTCTTTGCAAGGGGACATCACTACGAACCACCACCCTAGAGACTGGATGGGCCGAGCTGAGGAGATGTCACTCAGTGCAAGGCTAGAGGGCCCTGGCTGCAATGGTGACCAATGAGCTGCACCGTGACCAATGAGCTCCTTGCCTTTCTCACCCTGTCATCCGGGGTTGGCCCCGAAACACACAAGGCAGGTGGGCAGACATGGCTCCCGGTCCTCCCTGCCCGGCCCCCTCCAGCCTCCCAGCTTCCAGGGACAGAATCATTTGGATCCCAAGAACAGCTCCTACACTCATTCACACTGGCAGGATTCCTTAACCTAGATCTATAGGCAGGCTGCAGGGGGGCTGGGAACCCCTAAAATTGGAGGCAACTATGCATTTCTACGGATGAGACTTTAAGGGGCCTTTACCAAAAGAAAAGTTGAGAAACCCTGTATCTGAGTTGGGTCTCACCAGAACGGCTGTGTCTGGGGAGAGGGGCTCGACAGAGGGTATTGCTTGCCAAAGCTGGGGTAGGAGAGATGCTTTTTGGTAGCATTTCAAAGACTGTGGTCAGAGCCACCTTGGGCCACAAAGAATGGGTGGGACAATTGCCCAGTTTCCATGCGGTTCAGAGGAGAAGACTGGGTGAGGAAGAGGCCACTCTCCCAGCTGGGAGGAAGACAGGAGGGAAGAAGAGGCCTGGGGCCTCCTGGGAACACACGGGCCAAACACGTAGACACCCTCCCCTCCCCAGCAGGGCAGGTGGAAGGGAATGTCCCCTCCCAGGCAGCCCTGGTTACCTGCAATACACATGCCGCTGAGACAGGGAGGTGAGCTGCCTGGTGGACCCACCCACACGTCCTTTGTCTACCTGCAAGTGTAAAATTCTGCCCCATGGCAACTTCCCTCCCCAGGTGCAGATCCGACACCCCACCCCAGCCAGGCAGAGCCCCTGCTCCCACGCAGCCCAGGCCCCGCCCGCCCACTCACCTTTCTCACAGAGCCCTTTAGCGAAGAAGTTGCACACAGCTGAGCCCGACTCTGGAAGGGGAGGGGGGGAAGGAGAGGGCAGCTTCCCCAGAGCCTGTCACCTCCCCACCACAAGTGCCACCTAACCCTCCCCCAGGCTCGGGCCTGTGGGCCCCCAAGTCTGGGCCCTTTGGAGGCCTCCAGACCTCAACACTGAAGGCTCAGCTCTGAAACAGAGGAGACGGAGGGGTTCAAGGCCGCCACCAGCTCAAGAACTCGGGAGGCCCGTGTGGCTCCTCTCAATCCGCCTTTTCTCCGTGTCTCTCTTTCTCCGTCTGGAGAATGGGTTACCCGGCAGCCATAGGAGAGAAAGAAAGCAGGGGCCGCGCCATCAGGGAGCCGGGCAGAGAGGCCTTGGGAAAAGGCTGGAGGCGGGGCGGGGCGGGGGACAGCGGCAGCCCTGCCCCACTTACTGTCCATGCCCTGGAAAGGCAGGAACCCAGTGCCCCGTTGCATTTCGACATCCTTCTCGAAGGCGAAGGTAAACCTCTCCAGCCCTGCAATGACCTCTTGCATCTTCCATCTCCTGCTGGGGCTGCTGGAAGCAGCTAGAGCCCCGCAGGTGGACCCTATATAGCTCTCCGGAGGCCCTTAAGGGGCCGGGGTCTGATTCGTGCCCCTTCACCCCGGATGGCAGTGGCTAGGCAACTGGAGGGTGACTCTCCAGCCAGGCAGGAGTGGCCCGCCTGCCTCACCCCTCCGCCCCACGCAGGTGCAGACGCCCCAGGGCCCCTCACCCCCACACTGTGTACCTAAGTCCCACTCAGGTGGGGAGGGATTAGCAAAGGCCCACACACTGCTTATCTCTGTGTGTCACCAAATGGGAACACAGCATGTGCGCGCGTGCACTCATACGTGGTGCATGAAGACACAGCCACAGGTTGGCAAATGGAGACTTGCACAAGCCAACCCCAGCAAGGCCGCTCTGATTCTGCCAGAGCTTGGGGGCCAGAGGGGATGGGGCGGGGAGGGGTGCAGAGGGAGGGAGCCCCCCCACTTCTTCCCATAAGGTCCCAGCCAACTCCTTTCTCTGGGACCCCTGACACCCCTTGTCTGGCCTGAGTGACGGGCCCCAAGTGAGCTCTTCAAGGGAGAAGGGGAAAAGGAATGAAGTCCAGAGAAATCGGAAATAGTTGGATGAATAGCCCTTTGTTTACTTCGCCCACAGTCACAAGCTAGGCTGGGGGTGGAACCAACCCAAGGCCGGACTGGCCTCCCAGCCAGGATTCCACTGGGCCACCCGGCTCCTCCCCACCCCTGAGAAAGTGCTTTGTGAACGAAATCTCTATGCAAATGTTGTTTTATTATTATTACACCACCCCTGCCTGCAGGGCTGTGGACATCTGAAAGTGCTTTCAAAGGAGCATTTTTTTAGGGCTCTAATTGGACTGGGCTCCCCCCTCTGCCTCTCCCCGCTGCCCCTGCTCTGGCCCCAAACTGGCCTTGCCTCTAACCGGAGCTGCTGCTGTTCTCAGAGTTGCCTTGGCCTTTGATGTCCCTGGAACCAGAACCCAAACGCCCTCCTTCCTGGGCTCCTGACCCAGCAGGGAGCGGCGGGGCAGCCCTGCAGGCCCGGGCTGGGGACGTGAACCAGCCTGCTGGCTTTTGCTTTCTGGGGCTGTGGCTCCTGGATTTGTTGTTCTTTTGAACTCCAGACCAGAAAAGAAAATAGCTGGAGAGACAGACACCTGGAGCCGAGGCAGAGATCCAAGAGTTTCCAGAAGCTCGGGCCTCTGACGACACTGCGGGGGAGTGAGGCAGGACTCAGGGCTGCGGGAGGGTGGGGACGAGGGGTCCCTCTCGCTCCTCTTGGCCTTGTTCTTGTGCGCAGATTAGTAGTCCCGAGAATGAGTCTGTCCGTCCACACAGGCTCACTTGAGGCTGCACCGGCCGGGCAGGGCAGGCTGGATGAGGAAATCGGGACCATCGAGGCCGAGGGCACGAGGCCCGGAGGGTGATAAAGAGGGAAGTCAAAGCCAGGCCTCTGACGGCGTCCTTCCCTGACCGTCCCCTGCACCTCTCGGTCCTGGGGACCGTGTCCTTGCCTTGAGGATGGACCAGCCAAATGGGGGACGCAAGTAACCACATAATGATACCATAGAGTGATAAGGGGCGGCTGGGCTGATGTGGGGAGAGTGTCCCCGGGGAGGGGCCGGCCTCGGGAAGGCACAGGGCAGGGGGCAAGGCTCGGAGATGGTCGCGGTTTGTTTTTGCAGAAGCAGGGCTAGAGGAGTGGAGCTGGCCAGGCTGGAGAGCCGGGAGGGGACCTCCCGGGAGCCCCCCCTCTCAAGGGCTCGGAGGAGGAGAGCAGCACACAGCCCCCGGGAGGGGAGTGAGGGGAAGTCGGGGCAGGACGCTGCCTAGAGGATGGTTACAAAACAATAATTAGAGCCCCCGGGATGCAGCCTGAGGTGTTTTCTGGGCCTCTGGTGGCCCCCAAGGTTCACGGTGAGCATGAAGGAGACCCCTACCCGCTCTCCTGGTCAAGGTCCCACCCTCCTCCTGGGCTCCCCGTTCCACTTCTAGGTGCCTGGACAGCCGAGGGTGGAGTCCCTGCTCCGGGTGGCTCGTCGTCAGTTTGGCACAAGAAGGACGGCACCTTGTGTTCATGGCTTTTGCTTATTCGACATGACTTCTGTGGTGCACTAAACTGGCTGCCCCAGAAAGCCCAAGTCCTAACGCTCGTACCTGTGAACGTGACTGTCGGAAACAGGGTCTTTGCAGGTGTCATTCGGCCAACGAGCTCAACATGAGATCACCCTGGGACTAGGCCGAGTCCTGAACCCAATAACTGGTGTCCTTGTAAGAGAAAGGGAAGAGGTATTGAGACACACAGACACAGAAGGGACACAGAGAGGCCATGTGAAGACAGAGACGGAGATGGGTTACAGGGGTACCGTGGACCCCCAAGGACTGCCGGCCACCACCAGAAACCAACAGAGAGACTCGGGACAGATCCCCCTCCTGAAAAAAACCAACCCTGCGCTGGTTTCAGCCACCATGTCTGTGGTCATTTGTCACAGCGGCCCAAGGACACTAGGACACCTTCTCACTTGGAAATTTAGTTTCAGAAGACCTCGCCCCTTGACAGGTGAGCAGACAGGAAAGCGGAGGAGTGGCGACTGCAGAGTCTTCTCTGTGAGTCGGGGGAGGTGCCCTGTCTCTCCCGCCTCATGGCTCTCGAGGTGACCCGCACCCCCACTGCACAGAGGCAGAGGCAGAAGGTGGCGCCCCAGTCCTGGGATGTCCCCTCTGGAACCTCAGTCTGCTCTTCTGTGCCCTGGAGCTTATTAACCCAAGCACTGGTGTTTCCATTTGTCAATTAATTCATGGGTGCAAAGTGGGCACCCAGATCGCTGCACAAACAGTGGCGTTAATTTTTAATCACCATCATTATGAGGCTCTCATTTATCTCTGGCTGCAAATCTCCTGAATCATCACCATACGGCTCCTTCCCTTTATAAATGCACTGCTCTGAAAAGCCGGGGTGGGGGTGGGGGGAGCTTTGGAATTCTCTGGCTGCAGGGCCCGGCCAGGTCATGGCTCCCGTCCCCTGGCCTTGGATCAATGGCAGCCGGTGCTTTGCTGGGCAGAGTGCGGCCATGCCCGCCTCCCTTTTATCTCGAGCACCTGCCACACCCGGGCACCCTGCGTTTGTGGAAAGGGTGAGGACTGTGGCATCAGGCAGGCCAGGGTTCAAATCCTTTGTCAGTCGCCAGTCTATAATCACCTGTCTGAGCCCCAGATTCTGTACCGGCAGGACGAACGCACACCTCGTCCCTGGGGGACAGAGGGCGAGTGAGAAGTACACGGGGGTGGGGGGTGCCTGACTTCCATGAGATAAAGGATGTGTCTGCCGGTGCACACATACCTGCTCCAGGTAAGACACTGGGAAGGCTCAATGTTCAAGGACGCAGGTACCCTGCCCCTAGGCCCACCGTGCCACCCCTTCTTCCAGTTCATTACTCCTAAGGGCCCCTGATAAGAGGTGCTGTGGGGGGCAGGGGCTCCAGGTTTGTCCAGGTGCTGCTGGGGTGTGCCGTGAGGCCCTGCAGTGGTGGCCTGCCAGCTTGGGTGAGCTTTCCAAAGACCACAGCTCAGGTCTGCGTGGCCCCAAAGCCAGGCTGCTGCCAGCCTCCCGAGCTGCAGCGTTGGGAGGGGGTGGAGCTCAGGAGGGGCCCCCATCACACACAGCTGCCGGCTCTTAGCCCCGGGGACAACGAGCCAGTGTGTCCTACCTTCTCCACCACTCTTTGTGTCCCAAAGATGCCACTTGGAGGGGACAGCTGTTGGCCTCACACTAGCCACTTGAAGTGCAGGGCACGGCGGTGCAGCAGCCCGGATGGTCCTGCTCTGTGATTGCCCGGGAGCTTGGCCTCTGGGAGTCAGACAGTTCTACCACCTACACCCAGGGAAAGGCGTCAATCTACCCCTGGGGCTTGGGGACAATAACAGGACTAATAAACCACCCCACGCTTCTCATCCAAGGCCTCCTTCAATCCTCATGGCAACCTTCCCAGTTGCTCTACCCATTTTACAGATTGAAAAACCAAGGCCCAGACGTGAACCGCCTGTCGAAGCTCACACTGCCAGTATATGTCAGAGTGGGGCCTAGAAGCCCAACCTCCTCCGCTGCAAGTTATTAGGTCTTAATTGGTTTAGGTTCACTGTTTACACCGTATTCTAATTCCCACAAAATCCCATAAAGAGAGCTATTATTATTTCCCTTCTATGATCGAAAAAAACTGAGGCTCAAAGTCTTAGATGAGCTTCCCAAAGACCACAGCTCAGGTCTGCGTGACCCCAAAGCCAGGCTCCTTCCAGACTCCCAAGCTGCAGCGTGGGACAGGGCCCTGGTCCACCCTGGGCTGGGAAGATAACCAAGACCCCCGAGGCTTAAGACAGCAATGGGGACTTTGTGTGTGTTCCCATGAGTGGGCATGTGGATTGTACTTTGGGTCTAAAAGTCAAGGACATGGGACATTTTCAGCTCAGGGAATCAGCGCCGGCCCTTGGGGGGGTTCCGATAGCTTCCTCCTGTGGGTCTTCCACTGCGGGTCTTCACCTGCTCTCCAGCCTGCGCCCTCCTCTGGTTCTGTGCCCACAGCCTCCTTGGGCTCAGGGGGACTCTGCACAGGCTGCAGGGCCACCCACTGTCCCTGATACCCTGGGGAGAAGGAGCCCCGTCACCTGCAGCTCAGGGAGAGCCAGAGGCCCAGACTGTCGGCAAAGCTGAGTTGGCAGAAGCAGCCAGCTCAGAGGGAGCCGGCTCCGGCCACATTCGGGTCTCTCCCTGCTTACCCACTGTCCTCATCTGGCTTCTGCCTCCCCCTAGTAATGCACCCCCTACCCAAGATGCCCATGTCCTAATTTCCAGAACATGCGGCTACACCCCCTCACATAGCAAAAGGGACTTTGCAGACGCGATTGCATTAGGGACCCTGGGATGGGGAGATTATCCGGGACTATCCAGGTGGGCCCGGGGTGATCACAGGCCCCTGGTGAGAGAGGGCCGAGAGGGTCCGAGGAAGGGGAGAGAGAAACAGAGAGAGATTTGAAGGTGCTCCATGCTGGCTTTGAAGACGGAGGAAGGGAACGTGAGCCCAGACATGCGGGAGGCCTCCAGCAGCCGGGAAAGGCCGGAAGCGGGTTCTGCCCTGAGACTTGCAGGAGGAACACGGCCCTGCGGACACTGAGTGCAGCTCGGTGAGAGCCACTCAGGCTTCTGACAAGAGCTGCAAGAAAATGCTCTGTTGTTTCAGCTGCCATGTTTGTGGTCAATTGTTGTTGCAACAATAAGGAAACTAATATGGACAGGAATGCAACCAGCCAGCAGGCAGCTAAGCCCGGAGAGAGACTGGGAAACAGAAGGCGCCGGCAGACCTATCGCCATACAAGACTGCTCAGCTCTCGC